CATGTATAGCAAATTTAATATATTGGTGCACGCAACTGTGTGCATATAGACACTCCCGTTTTATATGAGAAAGAAAGAGAACGAGAGATGCTCTGTCTTATATTTTTCTAGGCCTACAAAATATGAGCAATGTTTCACTTGTTTTCATCAAGGGGATTTCAGGGGGCCATGCCCTCCTGACCTTATAAAAACAGGGGGGGTGTTCAAAATTTTAAATTTAAAAATTAGGTTTGATCTTTTCTGAACTCTCGCCACGAGTTAATTAAAGGAACTTGCTCAATGTGAGATTGAGAACAAGGAAAAGAGAAGCCCAATGGGAGAGATTTTTTCTCCTCTGAGAGAGACTTGGAAGGAAGATAGCTCTTTGCAACTTGGTGTGAACTGAGCTCCTGTATTTTTGACTTGAATATGGGTGTTGTGGGGAGATAAACAAGGGAGGAAGGTTGGGGATGCGTGCGCATTGAAATTATTGGTCAATCTTGGTGTTCACTCTCTTTTAGAATCATCTTTTTTTTTCAGTCAGAGAAGTTAGTGCAACAAAGGTTGCTGAGATGAAAAAGTGGCTGTTAAAGGGGTTTAATTTACACATAGATTGGAAATCTGTTACACGCCTAGTTCTGTTTGTTGTTCTGGATTGTTGTGAATGGATATCACTGTATCAAGTATAAATGTGTCTTTACTTTATTTAGTATTAATTCAAGTTCTTTTTTTATTTTTCTTTAAACAGTGGCGAGCACTGGACTGAGTGCTTCTCCTTTTAAGTACCCTGTTTTCCTGTTTCTGGAGAGTTACTTTTGTTCACAACAAAACCATTTTACTACCGCTTTTAAAAAAATGTTTCTTTGTATCCATCCTTATGAGACAAGGTAGATTGTACTGTGAATTTCAGTTTTAGTACTTTGGGATGGCCAGTGGTTAAATGGTCAGGTAAGGAAATGGTGTTGGCCAGTGCACACTATATCAAATAGATAGTGAGCGGTGGTTTGCTTTTTAAATTAGGACGCCATGTGTCCACAGCGGTCTATGGCTTTCTATGTGTATACAAACAAAAAATCTGTCCGTGCAGTGTTTTGTGACATGTAGTGTACCTACCTTTCTGATCGGCTGCTGTTGGGAACTATTTCCATCAATGCTACGTACTGTGATCTAAAAAATCACATTTGTTTGATTTTGGAAGGTCCAGATACCAGTGCTAGAACGGTAGCTTTTTCCCCTCCATGAAGAAAAATCTGGCCACCCTCAAATGATCAAACCGTGGGAAATACGGATTGAATTAAAATTTCTGCAGTGGGCACTGACTATTATTATCTAAAAACATTCAAAAGGGGAGGGGATGGTGTTTTTGTACTACTATAAATCAGAAAGTTCACCTGTTTATTAGATATTTGTGGTTGGTGGGTGCTCTGGTGTGGTTTGCTTCTTTTTTCCTATCAAACATCTATCGTCCTTATCCCCCCTTCTTCTTTTTTATGTTTGTTACTCTCTTGTAACACCTCTAATCTTCTGGCGCTCACATGACCTTTTATGCCGTTGCGAGCGCCGTAAAACCTCAACTAAAAATATTTTTAAAAAGAAAAGATATTTCATGTTTACCTGTGTTGGTAATTATAGCAGCGGTCCCATTCAACTGGGAAAATGGGGAAAATCCAGGAATTTCATTTTTAGATTTTGATTTCCTGGTCGGGAAAACACGCTGAAAATATTTGAAAAGGAAAATGAATGTCAGAAAGCTAGGAAATGAAAGGGCGCTTATTATTGTGAATTGGGTGGCATCATAGCAATTTTTTTTTTTCAATTTTATGAAAATATTATGATCTTACCACTTTTAAATTCAGATTTTAAAAGATTTACTTGTTGTTTGGCTACCCAAACCCATCCCTACTTTCCTGGCATATAAGGAAGAAAAACAATCCGACCCAGACAGTCTACATCACTTCATCACTTACAGCTGTCTAACTTAACTATTAGACTCAAAAAGGATGATTCTGAAGCAAAAGTGAAGAGGAAAGCAGATGACAGAGCATGTTCAGATACAAGAAAGGAGGTGAAAAGAGAACATTTTAGAGAGCTCTTGGAAAGTAATTCTGTTGTCATTGTCTTTGAAAAAAATTCCTTTTGAAAAAAGTTACAAATTCCAAGGGAAAACCAGGAAAAAACCAAAGGAAATTTTTTCTGCTTGGTGAGTGGGAACCCAGTTATAAGGTTATGTAACACACTGACCAAGAAATGGAAGAAAGAAAAACAGTAGTGTCTGTTAACCCTTTTGTTACCTCTGGTGTATGCCATGCATCATTTTGCCTTATAACGGCGAGAGAGCCAAGATGCTGCTCATCATAGGTTGTATGTTTCTATTATGCATTTCGTACATAGTCCTACAATGGATTCCTGCCCACACTGGGATACCAGGAAATGAAAGAGCTGATGCTCTGGCAAAGAAAGGAGCTAGTCTCCCTCAGCCTGAAATTCCTACGAATTACACCACCTGCTGCCAAATGATCAAGTCAAACCTCAAGGAAGAGTGGATGAATGATTGGGCCACAGGTACGACAGGAAGGAGGATGTATGGTCACATGAATAAACCACTGGTCAAAGATCCAATCAATGAGTTGAGGAGGGGAGATCAATCCATAATCTTCCAACTTAGAACACAACATGTACCCCTCAACCAACATCTCAACCGAATTGGAGTAAAGCAGTCTGCTGCCTGTCCACTATGTGACTACCCCTCAGAGACAGTGGAACATCATCTGTTTTTCTGTAGAAAACTAACTGATTTAAGGGGATGTTTTCTTCCCAAGCTACCCCACACATCTAATTGCCTCTACTCCTCAAGACAACAGTTAGAACAAACATGCAACTATTACCGAATGGCATCATGCAGAAGAGTTAACGCTCAGATGCTACTGGATCGCTAACAACAACAACAACATGCATTTCGTAAAACTAATCCCAGATTCACATTCAGCAATATTTTTTTCATACAAAGAATTTTTTTCCCTTTCAGAGATAGTAGAGTTTACAAACCAGGTCTAATTACAGGCAACTGACCACTAAATTTAGTGCTACTTTTTGTCCCTAGGGATCCTAAACTGTTTCTGATGAAGCATGAACTGACACTGTGTCATGAAGGGGTTAACCTGAAAACAGTGGCAAGCCAAAATAAAATAAAATACCTGATTTTAAAAATTCTTCTAATTGAAGTAAAACCTCTCTTTAAACTGAAAACCTGACTAAACCAAAGAGACTCTGGTGGTCCTGAAGATTTCAGTTTGTTGATATTTAAACTAACTCCAATGTCTTACTTTAGTTGATTTTTTTGTTGTTGTTGATTAATTTAATAAAAGACATTCTGTATTTTTGGAAGTCTTTTTATTGGTTTGAATCCAATTCCCCCATTTTTCTTAGAGAAAAGGAGTATATTAAGTTAACAGTTCAGAAGTTCATATGTGTTCAATGTGTACGGTTTGCAACAGAGTAAGATACATCATGTATGTGTACTTGGAAACTGAAACTTTTAATTGGTTTCATGTGTTGTTTTTTCCGTCAATGATAACAACTCTTCAAAATCAGAGTTAAAAGAAATTGTTTAGCCTTCTTGGGTGCGTTCCTGTTCCTTTGTCCGTGAGAAATTCAGACCATCACTATCCTCAAATGTTGTTTCTCATTTAGCGTAGTTAAAGTTTGTACTCAATGTTTTTGAGGTCCTGTGATCTATTGCATGTTTAAATCTTCCTCGGGCGCGGGGGGGGGGGGGCTCTCGTGGCCTAGAGGTTAAGGTGTTGGCCTCTCATTCAAAGGTCCCGGGTTCGATTCCGGGTAACGACCAAAAAATTTTCTTCTCTAAAACTGTCTCCTTTCACATCCTTTCCTGCTCTCTAACAATGTTCTGTTGTCTGCTTTCATTTCCACTTTCTGCCCCCACCCCTTCACCTCCTTTGCCCCCTCCTCTGGGCTCCTGACTCTTTCTGCAGCCTTTCTACTGCTACTCCTTGGCTCCTCCTTACTGCTGTCTTTCTGTCATACCCCTGATCTTCTGGTAGGAAAGATCTACACCTAGCCTTCTCGGACCAGGGCGAAAAATCTCGGAGGGCCCGTGTGCAAGTTGCGCACGTTAAAGATCCCTTGGTGGTCTAAAGTCGATAAGAGTAGGCTTCGGCCGCCACCCGGGCAAAATTCAAAATTTCCTACCAACTGAAAATATTAGGTGTGTCCCGCGCACTCATATGACCTTATGCAGTTGCGAGCGCCGTAAAACACTTTACAAAAACAAAACAAAACAAATCTTCCTCTCAGATTTAATGATGCACACAAACTGAATCATGAATTTAGAAGGAAAGAAGCATGGGAAAAAGAACTTTTTTTTGTGGTCTATGGTAACACACAACAGAAACTGGGCTGTGTGCTGCTCTGTAGTCCCAATCAATCAATGGCAATAACGTGGCAACAGGTGTGGAGAGCAGACCCCCATTACTGCTGCTATTGTAGAGAATGGTGAGGGATGTTCATACTTTACTGCTGCAAAAGGCTTATTTTCTATGAGCATTGTTGGAATAACTGTGTGTCCCTTCACATTGGGTCATGTTGCACATTCAGGTGTTGGTGGACAGAATTTTGTATGATTGTTTTGTTTTTGTTTTCAAATCTGATGTCAGTACGGTTGTTTGTTTGCCATAAAACCATTAGTATTATTTAAATTGAATAGAAACAAATGGAGAATAGGCGCCTGTATGAATTGCTAGAATTCATGACACTATTCATCTCTGAGACAGAGACATGAGTGAAACTGAACTCTGCTGCTTTGGCAAAGGTGGTCAATCTGTTCCAGATACTGTGGTCTGCTCTTTCTTCTTCGTTTATATCATGCTACTCATTAACTCATTGTAAAGTACATTTTGCTTATTTGTCTTAGAAAGCTGAAAACGATTTGCCACTGAAGTCTGGCAAAAAGCTACAGAATTAATCAGATATTAATATTGTTCTTGTTTTTCTTTTTAAGGAATTTTAACTACCATGGCGTCTGAAGAAGTTGATGTTGCCCCTAATGAGGATTTTAGCGGGACAGATGCTGTTGACCTAGATTTGGATCTCGACTATGACAGTTTTGATGAAGGGGGAAGTGATCGACCTGCGGAAAGGTGGGCACCGTTGGGTGCTGCTGTCAGCCCAACTCCGTCACCTTATGAACCAAGGTAAGATAGTTTTGTCTTCCTATCTATTGTGATTAACTTTGGGCGTAGAATGCTTACTGGTTGTGATTCAAAACAGTTCCCGTTTTACAAAATGCACTTGTTATGGTTGGAGAATGCAACAGTCAATGATGTAAATACTTATTTTATAAATATGTCTGTGAACATTTTTCCCTTTGTATTTTCTTTTGTTTATTGTTTGTTGTTTGTTTTCAACCTTTCTTGTTCCTTTGACCTGTATTGCAAAAGTACTGGTTTTGTTTTATTTTTTTTGTAATGTCTTATTTGTGTCTGGTATGGTGTGAAGTCAATTTAGAAATAAACATTTCTTTTCTGTTGGAATCCCCTTGGGGATTTTTGTGACGGGTTATTTTGGAAGTGTTTTGGTAGGCTCTCTGGCCACTTTAATCTGTCCTGTAAGAGATGTACATTTGAAAGTTCTCCTATTTAAAATATTGTTTAAAGGTGAATTAAACTCATTCCCTAGTATTTCACCTACAAGTACAAGGAGAACGTTTTGTGAAGTAAGATCCCTGATTTGAGCGCACTGAAATATTGTAGCTTTCAACATTTTTTTTTTGCGGAAACCCAAAAATAAAAATGATAGGCGTGTTTCAAGCAGCCGGCCTTCTAAATGATATTAATAGTTGTGTAGATAGGGATATAAAACAGTTCAATAAATTTCTCCTTTGCTTTTGTAAAAATGGCTAAATGACTGCGGTCTAGTCAACGTGTTTGGTTTGGCTCAAACAAACAAATAAAGGAACAATTTTTCTCTGTTTTAACAGCCACGTGAGTCAGAGAGACGAGCTAGAACGTCTGGAGGAAGAGCAGGAGCAGTTGAACTCATCACTGTTGGCCCTCACCACACACTTTGCCCAGGTCCAGTTCAGGCTCAAGCAGATTGTCAGCGCGGAGCCCGACGACAAGGAGGTTTGTATGCTAGGGGGGATGAGACAATCATAGAGCAACGTTTAGTGGGAAAACAGTGTTTTGTAGAATGAGATGATCTTTGGGAAGTGCTTTGTTGGATAAGACAATCTTTAGGCAATGCTTTGTGGGATGAGACCATCTTTAGGCAATGTTTTGTGGAATGAGACGACCTTTTGACAGTGTTTTGTGGGAAAAGACAATCTTTAGGCGATGCTTTGTGAGATGAGACCATCTTTAGACAGTGCTTTGTGAAGTGAGACAATTTGTAGGCAATGCTTTGTGGGATAAGGCAATACTTTGTGTGGGGTTAGACAATACTTTGTGTGGGATTAGACAGTGCTTTGTGAAATGAGACAAACTTTTGGCAGTGCTTTGTGAGATGAGACAATCTTTAGGCAGTGCTTTGTGGGATGAATGAATCTTTGAAAATTGATTGTTCGGTCGGGCTTTCTTGGATGAGACAGTTTTTGGATACTATCGTCATTTGATTGTGTTTTATGAGGGAAGAAGCAATAATGGAACTCTTCTTTTTAGGAAGGTTGATGACTTTTTGATTGATTGATTGTTAATGTTTTACCCCGCCATCCACACTTTTGATACGATTTGTTTTGCAATGCCGGATACATCAAAATGTGGAAAATTATGCAAAACCATGAGGTATCAGGTATGTCAATATATTGCATCGCAGTGATTAATAAAAAATTTCTTTCTCTCCAGACGCTGTTGAAGGAGCTGGAAGAGTTTGCTTTCAAAGGCATCCCGGATGTTCGAGGTTGCAAGACTCAGGATGCTCAGATCCTGGAGGAGATGGTGGGTTGTGCTGGCTGTAGGAAGATAGTAATACAATGAACAGTCTGCCTTAGAACCTGTAGGAAGATAGTAATACAATGAACAGTCTGCCTTAGAACCTGTAGGAAGATAGTAATACAATGAACAGTCTGCCTTAGAACCCGTAGGAAGATAGTAATACAATGGATTTTGACAAAGAACTTACTGACCTGAAGGAAGGTAGTAATACAATAGTTTCTGCCCAAGAACGAGGTCTTCTGGTAGCTATCTGGTGTCTGAGGTGCTTTAAATAGTGTATTTATAATAGTTTTTATTTCTGTGTAGTTAACGCTGTTGTCTGGTTGTTCTTTCTATGCTCTTAGTTTGGCCATCCTGTCTGCCTGCTCATTTTCTAAGACACCACAGTGTGATGGGGTCCACTGCAGCATGATCCTCAGACATAGGATGTCCTCAATTACTTTTCGTAGCCTTGGTAGTTTTCCAGCAGTGATTGCCTGCTGTACTGACATGGCATCTTTTAGGAATACTACTTGGCTCTGGGGGTCTATGACATTCTTGATGATGTTTGCTGCTTGTATTAGAGCATCCGTCTCTGCCCTGTAGTTTGTAGGGAGAGTCTGATTTCAGTTCTTTTTTTAGTTGAACATTTACTTGTTTCATTTATGTAGCGGTTAGGCTTTTTGACTGGCTCGCAAAAGATGTGTGCTCGATGATAAGAAGAGGAAGATATGTTATTGAGTATCTCTCTCATTCTGCTGGGAGTGAGTGGTTGGTGGGAGCCCTGGTGTGGTTTGCTTCTTCTTTCCTATCAAACATCTATCTATCCTTATCTCCCCTCCTCCTTTTTTATGTTTGTTACTCTCTTGTAACACCTCTAATCTTCTGGCACTCATATGACTTTATGCAGTTGGGAGCGCCGTAATACCTCTACCAAAACATTCTGCTGGGATTTATCCTCACACATTCAGGGTAGGCCCTGACATGCGGGGTTAAAGCGCCCCCCCCCCCACCCCCATGACTTCAGTTGTTCTGCAGGTGGGGTTGGTATTTGTGGACTTGTTTTGGCATGGTACTACATACACAAGAGCTGGTTAAAGTACGCTGTTAATTTCCCCCTGCTGGAAGATCCATAAAGTTTGTGTCATCTTTCCCTTTCTTAAAACATTTACACTCATTTTCAAAAAGTTTTTTTGTCATGCTAAAAGTTTCTTGTTTACTGTGGGTTCACAGAGTGACCGGGAGCATGAGAGCAAGATCTCGGAGCAGCGGGAGAAGCAGAGAGAGTTGATAGAACAGCTCAAGTCTCAGCTTGAGGACCTGGAGACCTACGCTTACGAGGTCAGTCTCTTTCACACTTAGGGTTCACACAGATAGTCAGTCCGTTATACATTTACGGTTCATGTAGATGTTCTGTCTCTTGCTCACTGTGTGTGAATGTGGATGCAACGGGATATTAGAAATGTATATGTATGTATATAGCACTTTTCAAGATGGCATATGTCGGAGTCTTACACTAAGTAGTCGACAGATGCTTATTTGTCTTATTGTGTTGGCATGATATGATATACCTACATCTTGTGTTGCAAAAGCAAGTGTTAATTTCCTTCAATGGAAGATCAATACAGTTTATCTTATATTATTTTGTCTTGTTTTTTTTCTGCCAGACGGGGGATGCAGACAGCCTGCCCACCAGTAAAGTGATGGAGAAACAGAAGGTCGTCTTGGAAGAGTTGCGGCATAAACTTGATCTCAATCTGGAGAATTTCGATAGCCTCAGGTAGACTTCTTTCTTTTTTGATTCTCTTTCCACACATTTTCTTTCAGTTTATTGATTTTTTTTTTCACTGTTTAAAGAAAAAACTATAAGGAAAACCTCCCCAATATTTGTTGGTCTTGATTTCTTATGCTGTTTCTTTGTTTTTGTGTGTGTGACTTATTAAATGCATGCAATGAACAATTTCAAAAGAGCTCAAGCCACCTTACAATGACATCTTAAAGTTGAAGGATGTAATAGCAGCAACAATAAAGTCAGTTTGGTATATGCAAATGTTGAACCTTAGAAATGAGAATTAATCTTTATAAAGAAGATGTATTTGCTTATTTTTAACCTAGCTTTTCTGATATGTGTTTCCAGGACTATTTAAACATAATAATAAGAACTCTGGTTTTATTTTCAGCACGGAAGAGTTACGCCAGGTAGTAGACAATGCTGTTGGACAGGTGAGTCCTTTTGTGTGTGTTTGTATGTGCTGGTAAACATGTAAACATGCTTGTGTGTGTGTGTGTGTGTGTGTGTGTGTGTGTGTGTGTGTGTGTGTGTGTGCATGGGTGTGTGTGTGTGCTGTTGAACATCTGAATGTGTTTGTCAGCCAAGAGGTTTCCTATTATAATCCAAATCTGCTTGTGGTAAAACCGGGCAGCTTTTGATTCGTAATGTACTGTAGGCCACAACTCAAACATACTTTTTCATTCTGACTCCCTACAAATTAGAACTACAACTCTTGTTCTTGTTCCGTCGTCAGATCGTAAATCCGGCAAAAGTAAAGGAGAAGCTGGTGGAGCAGCTGAAGACTCAGATAGTGGACTTGGAGAGGTTTATACAGTTTTTGCAAGGTGAGATGTGGTGTGTGTAAAAAAACAAACCCCCCCCACCCCCACCAAAATGAACGAGGTCGATATGGTTTTGATCTTGGTTTAACACCATTATTGGGCTCTGAAAGGTGATTTGAGACCTGGACCTCTGAATTCAACATCGTGTGTGACAGAGGTTGAGCCAGATTGAGGGAGGGTATTAAAGTTCAACAGACAGTCCCATGTTTAAGAACATTTTAAAACATGACCTGCCAGGTCCCTTATGTTTAACATGTTGCAATGAAATGTTTTAAAATGTTCAATCTCTGATATCATTCCAGGTGAAGCCACAAGTCCAGGGCCTCTGGGAAAAGAAAGATGTATATGTCCCATGCACGAAGAGGTGAGGGAGTACAGTCTTTTAAATTTCATCTTCTTTTTTGTGTGGCTGGCTAGACATTCGTCTTTTGGACTCGGTTGTCTGAGGATAGGGCTGAAAAATAGAACCGGCAACTGCTCACATACCAAACAGCTTTTAGCAAGCTTACTCTTAGATGCCGCAAAAGAAAAAAAATTGTCTTGATTTGACTTGTACGATCAGTTATTTAGCCCCCCCCCTCCCCTCTACAAGTGTTCCTGAGTGCTCTAGGTAATCAGCCACTGTCGTACCAGTTCCTATTATGTAATGGTTAAGGCTCTTTATTTAGCTTTGAAGAGATATGGGTTCGATTTCCAAATGGGAAAGATGTTTGAGTATCTAGTCATTTTGCTGGGATGTCATATCCCACTCGATCAGGTTGGCCTCGAGAGGCAGCAGAGTCATTGTAGCCTGCCCCTTAAATATTGTAAGTGATGTCCATGGAAAGATTTTGCGATCTGCTTTCCTTTCATTTTGGTGCCTTTCGTAAATTTCCATTGGTCTTTTTTTTACTTGAAAGGGATAATGATTTTACTGATTGCTGAGTCCACTGGGTATTGTTATCGATTATAATTCTATTTGAAGATGAAAATATAGCGTCCCCGTCAGATGATAATGTTAGGGACATCTGTTTGTTGAAATCTGACCTCTTTGTGATGGTGCCTGAAGAATGAAAGCCTATTTGCTGCTGGATAAACAATAACTACTATAACGACAGCAACAATGCCATCCTCACCCAAAAGACGATAATGATACAAATGACGTCAACAATAACAAGAACAACACAGCCCCCCATCACCAAGAGCAACAATAGCTGCGACGACTCACAACTACATAAGGTCATATGAGCGCCTAGGGGTGGATGTCAACAAAGAAGTCCAAACGGGGAGTCTTACTCTGCTCACCCCTATAGCCTCAACAGCTCAAAGTCTGCTTCTACTATCAAGGCCCCCCGGAAATAGCAGTTAACAAGAGAGTGACAAACATACAAAAGAAGTGAGGAATTCCGGTGGTGCTCTCCAACCACCTGCTGGTTATCATTTCTTCTTTTCATGTGAAACAATACTGAAGGAAAACTTATTTTTCTCTATCTCTCATTTGCTTTCCCCAGTCATCTTCTGTTCCCCTAACTGGAGTGGGACAAAAAGGAATCCACTCCTCAAGCAACAAGAAATCAAAAGATCATTTCCAGTTTGGCTCAGCAGGCAAGAAAGAGGACCACAACAAGGTGGGTAGAGAGAGAGAGAGAGAGAGAGAGAGAGAGAGAGAGAGAGAGAGAGAGAGAGAGAGAGAGAGAGAGAGAGAGAGAGAGAGAGGGAGGGAGGGAGGGAGGGAGGGAGTTAATTTTGTTTTTGTATGAGTTCAACGCCCTGATGATGCTTCCAGGTCATTTTGAAATCACACTATCGGGTTTCCACGGTACTGGTATCGTATGAACTGAACACAAGAACTTTTTGTACATACTATTATTATTGTTATTATTATCATTATTGTTATCATCATATTATTATACCATTATTATTGTATGATCATACATATTATTATTAGTATTATTATATTATTATTATTATTATTATTATTATTCCTTTTTCCTGATGCTGAAAGTTGTGTTTTGTGTTTATTAACTTTTTTACTTCTCATCTGTTCGAGCTGGACTGTTTGTGTTGATATGTCACATACCATCAATTAGAATAAAATGAAAAAGCTAACAGACACACACGCAAACAAACATAAAAATACATGCACAGTCAAACACTTGCATATAAATTTCCCCTTCCTCCTTCGAAGTGGGCATTAACATGCCATATGCACAAGCTAGTCACACAAACACGTTCACCCTCCAACGCACACACACACACACACGCACACACAGACACACACACACACACACACACACACACACACACACACCTTCACACAAACACTTAAACACACTCCAGTGCACAAACTAATATACTCAAATACCAACAATGTTTCAGTCCCCCCACCCCACCACCATCATTTTGTCTTCTTTTCTTTTAAAAGCTAATTTTTATCTTTTTTTTTTGGTGCTTTTCTTCTCTGGTGTCTGGTCAACCATGACGTGGTGCCCTCTCTCTGTCCCGCTGCGTATGGGTGAGTGCAGCAGCTCAACGACTCGACCGCTACCATAATGAAGAAGGCCCTGACTGTGCTGCAGATCTACGTCATCAGTCACCTGGGCTGCGGCAGCCGTGACTTTAAGCGTAATCTGCTCAAGAAGACCACAAGGGGAAACCACTGGGGGTGAGTTCTCAGAATGCAAGGGCATTGTGTCCCGTAGACATGGTTTTATGGCTTTTCCTCCCTCCCTTTCCCTTTTTTTAAAAAACATGAGGCACCAGATTTGATTTTTGCCTGTGTTGATATTGATCTCTGTTGGGGCTGGCCAGGTGGATGGAGAGCCTCAGAGACTCCTCAAATGGCTGAGGTAGAAAAGATGTCTGAGTGAGCGCTTGAACCAGGGTAACGAGCGGGCTCCTTAGTTCAGCGTGTTGCCAGCATGGCTAACTCCTGGTCCACTTCTTAGACAGACACCATGACTTTGCTCTGACTATTCTGTAGGTCTACCTCCTTAAAATTCTTAGGTCATTGAAGCAATCTGTTCAACTTGTACAAGTTGGCACATCTACTGAATGGATGCGCCTTCTTTCCTATAAAAAATATATTGTTTCGATCTCCCCTCCTTTTTTGTGTTTGTTACTCTCTTGTAACACCTCTAATCTTTGGAACTTTCTGACCTTATTGTGTTGCAAGTGCCGTAAAACTCTTACTAAAACTAGAATGGATGCCGCATTATTGTTTTCTTCATTTGTCATTATTATCTGTTTGCCTGTGCTGCAGCTGTATCCTCATGTTGTATTAAATCTTCATTATTTTTATTAAAATATTAGTAGATAATGCTTGCTTTTAGCTTGAAACCTATCCTTTTTATACTGAAAATGCTAACGTTTTCATGTTTCAAAGTAAACTTGTAGCAACAAAGCGGGAAATTTGTTATAGTTATGATGGTGTGAAGGGGGAAACAACAGTCAGGGAGCACAACTCCCACTGTGGCAGGGTGCCTGGCATATGTTTAAACTACTTTCTAGTGTTGTGTGTGTGTCTGTACCAGCCATATCTTTAGTTCAGCTCTCTTGTCCCACCAGTCTGTTGACCAAGGGTCTGGTCAAGCAAGAAAACAAATCCTTTTGGAGGTTAACTAATTTTTCATGACATATAAGTTTATTGGACATTCATTATTTATTTTGATGTAAAATACAATTGTCCAACCCATAACCCCCCCCCCCACTTCCGCTTATCCGTGACAGTGACCTGCGAGCCAAGCTGGAGATGGCTGTTACCCGCTGCATTGACCTGGCCGAGCAGCAGAAACTGGAGGCCAAGCAAGACACAGACACTGACGAATACTCCTCCGATTCCGATGAGGTTTGTCATGTAAAAAAAAAAGTTACAGTTTCTCATTGAGCGATTAGTCAAGTTTGTCTTGTGAGGGCAAAGTTACAATTTTTCATTGTTAGATTTGTAAAGTTTGACATCGTCAGTTTTATACATTGTGGGTGGTTGGCGGATGCTCTGGTATGGTTCACTTCTTCTTTCCTATCAAACATCTATCATCTTTATCTCCCCTCCTTCTTTTTGGTGTTTGTTTCTCTCTTGTAACACCTCTAATCTTCGGCACTTATATGACCTTATTGTGTTGCAAGTGCCGTAAAACACTTACTAAAACTAAAAAGTTTTTTACATTACAGTGGCTGTAGAGGTATGCCTGATTGCGTGTAGGGAAGAAACTCTGTAAACTTCTCAGACTAAATGCAGAACAAATGATCGTGGGAATAATGTGAAAGTTTTACAGTTGCATTTCTTTTAAGCTGTCTCTGAAATCCTCTGAAAAAAAGAAAAATTGTCCTGGGCAACAATGTCATTGCACACCGGACAGGTCCATAAGTGTTCAGTTCCTCTCAGCACTAAAGCCCGCAAGGTATCTATACTAATTGTTCTTGTGGCTGTTTGATTGTGGCGATGTCTTTCCTTTCCAGATAATCGTTCTTTCTTCCTTCTCCTCTCTCTAAGTTGCAGATGTTAGTCGTGTCATAGATGAGTTTCAAGTTTCTCCACTTGCTGATGTCGCTTGGGTGATGAATTGGACTGCTGTCATTTTGGGTGGATGTTGAGTCAAGTTACCAAATTCTTGAATATAACCCTCTATACGTTTCCCTGAATAGCAGAGTCACTTTGATCTTAACGTCACATAAAATCTTAAGAGTTTGTGGTTTTATTTGGGCAATGGGTGTACTTTTATTCAAAAAGTTGACATAATCTGGGACTTTTATTATTACCTGACATCACCTGAGACATGAAAATTTGGTTTTGTTGGTGCACAAATGTGAGGCATCGTGGTGAAATCATGCGTTTCTCAAAGTATTGGAAATCAAAGAAATCGACATTTTGCTGGCCATTGGGCAATTTTTTTCTAATTTTCTTTTTTTGGCTTAACACCTTCTATGTCCATTTAAAAACATATTTCAGCGTAGATTTTACTGAAAAACATTGATTAAAGACACAAAAATCATAAATTTTCATTTTCCAAGGACTCTCAAGCTATGGGAATTACAAAACTTTGGTTGCCATTTTCTCGCTAATTGTACCTTTGAAACCAGACAACCCTCACTTCCTTCTATCGCAAATATTTTGACTTCTATTCAACATAGATGGATATTTGTTCACCAGAAAGGAAGGCAAATGAACAGGCTTTAAGATTATACCTATAAACACATATGCCCAAAAATTGACGAGCACTTGATTCGACGTCGTGACACAAATGTTTTTTCAATGAGTGAGGTGATATAAAGCACACTTTGAAAAATAATGATGATTGGAACAGCTTCAGAGAGACTGTGATCTTGTTGTTATTGCTAGTTCAGTTGTACTTGGGCTGTTGTCCTTCTGCCACATGTTGTGTTGTTGAAGGTTGGTAGGGTGTTGAGTAACTTATCATAGTTTTGAGTATATAGAAGAACGCTTTCCTTATTTCAATGTTTTTTCCCTAATTCTGGGTATATATATATATTTTTTTTTAATTAAAAATTTTTTTTTATTTTTTTATTTTTTTAAATTTGGAAATATGTTAGTGCATCTACATTGTGTTTTGATGTGATGGGAGGCAGTGGGAATATCTTAGTGGATCTGTTTTCCCTGTACGTGACAGTGGACGTAATATGTGAACACAAGAAGTTTTTTTTTTTTTTTAATAAAGAAAGGAAGTGAGCTTAGCAACCTATCTCTGTTTGTCCTCCCAAAAAATTCAAAATTCTTAAGTTCAAATTTCATCAATTTTGATATTAAAGTGCCTTTTTGGCAGCAGTTCTGAATGAGTAATTTGTATGTGGGGACAAGAGCAGAGGAGGAAAGATAATGCCTGGAAAAATTCCAGTTTTTGCTAACTGGGTTCTGCTCAGTGGCAAGCGGGTGTGATCTTTTTTATCATGCGTATGACTATGAGTCTGTCTGTAGGTGTAAGTATAATATATAGTGTGTGTGTGTGAGAGAGAGAGAGAGAGAGAGAGAGAGAGAGGAGAGAGAGAGAGAGAGAGAGAACCTAACAAATGTGCTAGTGTCTGGACAATAAAGATTAATCTATCTTATTTTAAATCCAATGGGATTCAACTGAGTTCAGTCTCTAAGTACTCAACCCCCTTCCTCCTCTGGTTTCTCTCCCAGTGGGTGATTGGCAGGTGCTTTGGTGTGGTTTGCTCCCTCATTACTATCAAGCTCCCATCATCTTAATCTCTCCTCCTTCTTTTTTGTGTTTGTTACTCTCCTGTAACATCTCTAATCTTTTGCACGCATACGACCTAATTGTGTTGCAAGTGTCGTAAAATGCTCACCAAATCAATAAAAACAAAGTCTCCCCAGCATGTGCACCAGAGCAGCCCGGCCCTGACCCAGTGTGTGAGGAAAGAGCTGGCCATGTCCATCCGTGACCTCATGGAGCACGGCCTCATGGAGGTGGGTCAGTCCACCAGCCTGGTGCCCTTTGGCTGTTTCCCCAACCGCTCGGCCAACGCCACACGCATGCTGCACGCCTGGGACCTGTTCCTCAAGTATTACGAGATGAAGGTATGGGCACTTCTACCTAGAGGATGCGATGAGATAGGATATACTTTTTTTGATATTATAGAAGTCAGGCTATCTCTCCGGTGGAGCGTATCCAAGAAGTAAAGATCTGAAGGGAGGGAACGAGTTCTTTGGCAATCTACTTCTTCCGTATCTACTGCGCAGGCAAAGCTGGATCTTACGTACCTGCTTTAAGAAGTCTGTCAAGACACAAAAGGCCATACATTATGTATTAATACTTTTTATTATTATTATTATTATTATATTATGATTCTTTCTATTAGTATCATCATTATTATTATAAGCTATACATTATTGGTCCTGTATGCTGTAAAATGAGTTGAGGTAAGGTATACTTTTCTCACTGCTCTCCAGGAGGCTGAGAATGTTTGGGAATGTTATTGGGTCGGTTGGGGTTTCAATAGATTGGAACGCACATAGAGTTTTTTATCTAGCAAGGATATGCTTTATTTAAATGGGATCTACTAACACTGTATGAGATGTACGTTTTTAGTACTCCAGTAGGTCAAAGAAAATGTCGTCTCTGATTAGAGATTAGTCCATAATTCGAACGTTTGATGACCAGTTGAATAGTAACTATATTATAAATTAGTGTAAAGTGGGAAATAACTTGTCCTTTGAAAGGGTGCTCAATGCTGAAGAAATGAGTGGTTTTTGAGTCTTTAAAAAATGTTGTCTGTTTGTTTAGTGTATCATTATGTACATGGTAAAATGTTTAGACTAAATATGGTAAATTCATTCAAGAAATAGTTCATTTTTTATCAAGAATCTCCATCTTTGTGCTGGGATGCTGTATCTCACTCAGCCTGAACTGAAGCTAACAGATGTTAAGCTGCCTGCCTCCTGAATTCTTTAAATTGTGATGAATGAATCTTAAAATATTGACAATCCATTGTGTTGCCAGCATGGGCGAGAGTACAATGAATCTCCGGCCCGAAAGCTCTCTCAGTCCTTCCACTTGGACATGGTCGGGGGCAAGCCAATCACAGCCAAGCAGACCCTGTTGGGGGCCATCAACACCGTCATCAACTCTCACACGCCCCTCAAACGGAGCGAGGATGCTCACCTCAAAGCCTTCATCTGTTTGGCTCTCAAGTAAGTTGTTGGTCATCCCTCAACCTGCTGAGTATCATGTTTGAAATTGAAATGAGTTGTCAATGTGTCTATTTAAGCGTTGTACTCGTATTAAAGAACCCCAAAACAACATAGCTAGTACTGTGCGGTGATCAGAACATTTACGTGTGTCTGGTGAAACATAGTTTCGGAATGTAAAAGTTGATTGGAAATTTTTTGTTTGTACCAATATATAGTTATTTTGTATGATTATTTGCTAAGTAAAGAAAAGCACATTGACACTTTAACAGTCATTTAGTGCAGAGAAAAAGTTAATTACCTGTATTTCCTGTCTTGGGCAACAACGTCATTGCACACCGGACAGGTCCATGAGTGCTCAAACAAAAAGTTACATGGACAGAAACAACAGTGGGAGAGAAAATTCAGACCTACCTATGGTGTTCTCCAACTGCGCACATTTTTTATGATGTGTCTCATAAGCCAGTTGTTCATATGTACTGAGCCCAAAATTTCGATTTTTGTAAAATTTTAAAATTAATTGCAGTTTCTCTGTCTGTGGTTTCAGTTGTATAATAATATATATATATATATATATATGCTCCTGAAATATTTTGCCCAAATTGAATTTTTAAATGTTGCAAAAAGCAAGAAAGATTACATAATTTGGGTCCAGTTTTTAAAAGAATGATATGGGTTTTTTGCTCTCATCTGAAAAATTTAGCTTTGTTGATATAAACCAGTTAAACAGCTTTCTAACGCCTTTGTAGAACGAATCTCCCAAAAGGATGCATAAAGTGAATTGCTTTTTTCTGTTCTTTTCCCTACCAGTGAGCGCAAGCTGGTGACCTGGCTACGGCTCTTGTTCCGCACCCAGACTCTGATTGACACATATTACCAGGACTGGAGCTACGTGGCTCGAACAGGTCAGCTGGGGTGTCCTTGACCCTTTCTGTGTTGTTTAGTTTTTAGTCTCTCATGCTAGGCAAAAAGATATATGTTTTTGGTTGTGTTTCTATACTTAAGCAAGTTACTTAATGGAGCATTTTAATGAATGATATTACTGTGCAGCCAAAATTTCGTGGTGCAACTTATTCTCAAATGTCATTTCAATGGGTGAATCAGTGTCGCACATACTCTGCACAGCAGTTTGTATAAATTTGCCTCAACTTAAACATATTTTTCCCCAACAATTTAGGCTAGATTAAAAAACTTTTCTTTACAAATATATAAAATACTACAAATCTCAGTCACGCGGAAAATGGAGTGTTCACAGCACTTCTTGCTTCTCACAAACATTTTTCATATGTATGTGGCCTGCGTCACAGATCACCAATGACACTTTTTAATGGTAAAACTATAGCCCATGCTTAATTACGATCTTCTGATAGATGACCAAAGATATTGTAAAGAATTTCTACGCATACTTTATAACTAGTCTGATGAGAAGCAGCATGATGGTAGGGATGAATATTAGTGGAATATTGTGACCGGAAACTGCCTTGGTTTGGTGCCGTCATGTTGTACTTCAGGGCTTCCAGTCTTCCGCAATGTAGTAGAATTCCGCAAATGGAAAAATTTCCGTGAAAATTCATGAAAAAAAAAAAGTAAAAAAAATTATTTTCAAAAATGCGAACTAAAATATTTCCGTTATTACCAATAGTCAACAATAGCCAACCCATACCGGAAGTGCTCTTTTATTTGAAAGTGTAGACAGTGTCTTTCACTTTCACTTTCTAAAGCACAAGAAGCACAGCACCAGCTCTGTAAACAAAAGGAAGAAATGACGATTGTGGTTGAATAGATCTTCGGCCTGCCAAGAAAAGAAAACTCTAAAGAGAGCTTGATGTAATTTACCAGACTTGTTTATTTGTAAGTATTGTTGTGGATTTAAGTTGAATACAAGCTGTCAAGTTATTTAGATCTAGAATCTAGAGATCAAGTCAAGCTGTTATACTATTATTATAAGGATTCTACACCTTATGATGATTATGGTGCAAACCAACACAAGCAGAAAAAAGTTGAACTGTCAAGTTTTATAGATCTAGTTGTGGATGTACAGTATCGGTACAAGGGAGAAAGCATGGCTTTGGATTTGGAAATGTATGGATTAACACAAGCAGAAAATTATGTAGGCCTATGCAAGGTATGTTTTTTTTCTCACTTATTATCTTGTTAAATTTAGGCTTGAATAGCCAGAAATGGCATAGAATCTACTTAGGATGCCCTGAAACCAAAAATTCTCAAACATAAAGGGGACGGTGTCCCCCTCCAACCCCCTGTCAGGGCTCTGCCCTGGACCAGAAAATCCTCGAAAAATGACTTCAGCTGCTGGAAGCTCTGGTACTTAGTTAGATACCAGCGAGAGAGTTTTGTTGTGCACCATTTATTGCATGAAAGGTGCTCAAAACATGAGTTCCATAAGCATAGTGTGGCGATCAGAAGAAGTAGGACGCACCTGCTTTTAAAAGTGCTATTGTCCCAGCTCATAGGATACTTGGGTCTTTTGATTTGCAGCCATACATAAATTTTGGACATCGTGTTGCATAGACAATATATTGTCAAAGGCAGCTCCTAAATTTCTGGCCTTTGGTGTCAAGGCCACTTTCTCATTTCCTACAACAGTATGATCTGTACCAGAAAATTGAGTCACCAAAGACTTTGGTTGACATATAACATTGCTTTGGTCTTATTGTCATGTAACCCCAGTCTGTTGGGCATCGTTGGTCTTGACTTTGTCTCCATATTTTGTCATGTATGAAGCCTGGCCCCTGTGAACATGTATGGCTGTGTGTCATAGTTACGTTATCTTCAGTTCTTTGGCATCATCACGGGTGTGTTGACAGATTTGCTCCACCAGCTCAAGTGTGAAAAACATTCTGGAAAGTGCACCTGCTGTACGGACAGACAGAGGCTGGGAGGGACGTGGGTCAGGGGGAGGGTTGGAGGGGGTGGGGGTGGAGTAATTCTGCATTGTTGGTCTTTTGGACATGGGACAGCTGATTAGGAATTAAACAAATTTTTCAAATAACGACATGACAACATTTTATAATTGTGCATATCACCTGTCACCTGCCACCATGGCCGGATGTGTTTGTCCGTTGGCAGCTCACTCCGTGTCACAGCGGGCCTCCAATCTTTCCCGGTTTCTGCTTCGATGTATTAGTCCATGCGGAACCTGTAGACCACTGTTGAATTTTCTGTTTTTTTCTATCTGTCCGTCTTACTTTTTCCCAGCACTAAATGACCATTATTGTGTCAATGTGCTTCTCTTTACTCAAATAAACAAACAAATTTCCCAACCAAGTTCTGTGGGGTTTCTCTCAGGTTTCGAGGATGCCTTGAGGTCCCTGGAACGCTTGTTGGTGATAAACTTCAACCTGCCTGTGGACCTAGCTGTCAGGACCTTCAGTAGCATCAAGGACGCATTTTGATCCGGCCAGATTTCTCTCATCAGAGGTTACGTAATCAAGGTCAAGAATTTGGCGGCGCGTTACAGCAAGCAAAATTTTTTGTGGCTATATGGGGATGTTAAAAATATGAGCGTTTCTTTGAGACTTGTTTATATTATGTTACTTTGCAGGTATCTGAAGTACTTGCCAAGTGATTGGAAATTTTCTTTGGGAAGTCACTTTAGTGTGCATGTGGGGGCAGGGGGGGGGGTTGATATGAACATTGCTAAATTATGTTCTTTTCATCATCAACTGAAATTGTCTGTTTTTAGGCAATTGGCTGGCTTTTTTGGCATTAAGTGAAAAGTAATCCGTCTACCTCTTCCTTTCAAGGTTCCCAGGCCCTTTATTTCTGGTAGTCGTGTCTTTATTGAAAATAGTTATGTTCAGTGTTTGGCTGTGGCGCTGCTCTTTAATTGCAGCACAAAAGACTTATCAGTGTGGGGAATTTGTGGTGTGGGCCACGGTTTGACATGTTGTAGGGATTTAGAGTGACTGGTTGTGTGTAACCTTCTTTACTTTGACTTGTACATGTCACTAACACAAACACACTGACACAAACACACTGACACAAACACACTGACACAAACACACTGACACTGACACTGACAGACTGGTGGTCTCTCTCTCCTTCTGGGAGTTGAGCCAAGACATTACTTAATGTGAATTACAACTTCAAAGTGAATATATTTCAAGGTTTTTGGTGGTTTTTTAAATCAATGTTTTCATTTGAATAAACTTTATTTTTATTTATTTTGACGGAGATGACAGGACTAGGTTAGAGAAAAAAATGTGGATGACCAAATTGAGTTTGCATTTACAAAAAATGTTTTTACTGTACATTTGATGACTTGTTTTCATTCTGTATATTGAGTTTTGAACTTATTCTTGGTCAACCAGATTCTGTGGTTCTGATGTTTGTCCGTTGTTTTTTGTGGGTGAGAGGAATAAGATGACATTCTTTTTTCCTGGGTTCATTTCATTGCATGTGATATTGATTTATGGTAGCTTCATGTGGCACGAGCCATATATTTGCTAGTTGTATTAATACGAGGGAAGTGAATAATTATTTTACAAGGAGACTGAATTTGGGCCCAAACCCCCCCTTTTTTTTTTCTTTCTCACTTTACCGTTTGTTAGAATAGTGTCAACATTTCGGGGACTATATCTGTTTGCCCAGATGACTGTTTTTAGTCTTTGATAAAACAGAGTCCACTGAAGGTTTGGTTAGTGGCATTTTGTCGTGGGACTTCCGCTTCTGATATTAAAATCGGAGTCTTGTTTTACCAGCTGAGTGATAACTTCCTTCCACCCACGTACCGAATCGGTAAACAAGTTTCATATGTTGAGGTCTACTGTCAACCGCTGGCATCCGTGATCTGGACAGGAAAGAACTTGGCCAAGGTGTGGACATCCTGAACAGGGGTCTGAAGCGTTATCATTCTCCCTGGAGGATTTTTTCTCCCCTCTCAGCTCCGTGTCCTGAAGGGAGACCTAGTGTTGTGGATTCTGAATGATTTACATCGTGAACTGTGGACCAGTGCAATTGTCTGTGATCGTATTTTCTTTTGTGATTCCTTTGGCATTCCCTGTCGCTGATTCCTTTGGCATTCCTGGTTGCTGACAAATTTCCTTGAAGTAATGTGACATGTTATTTATAAAGATGGGGAACTGTACGTTGATGAGAACAGGTGTTCTTAAATAACCTTATAGTGTTGCATGGTGTGGAACAATATTGCAGTTTTGAGAATGGGTGTTATGGGAAAGCGGTATATCTGATGTTTTTGTAATATTCCTATGAGCATGGCAACTATACAGCGGTGGCTAAAATTTGTTTTAGTGTGTCACAAAAGTAAGCTGATGTGCTTAAAGTCAACAGTTTCGGGCAGTTGAAAGGGCGCCTCTGGTTGGTCCTACTTTTATGCTCTCCTTCTGCTATTTCGTTCCAGCTACTTTCAAACACTATGTGACCACTATCAATACTATCATGTCAATATCCTTTTGTGCTCAAACTGAAAGCTCAAGTCGAATAGTTTACTTTGTAAACAGACAACAAGGAAAGGATTGAGTGAGGTAAAACTCTTGGACCTATGTTTTCTTTGTGATTTTCAATGATGATATCTTTAGTGGACCAAATGGTTGTGAGAGGAGGAATGAAAGTGGGTGGGGTTTTTAAAAAAACATCATATTGAACTGGGGAAGGGAACCACAATACAGGTTTTCTTAGTGTCCTTGGTACCAGAACCATTGTATTGCTTTCGTGTTGTTTTTGTGTATGTGTGAGGACCAGCAATCTCTGCTCTGTGTCTGTGAACGTGGGAGTGAGATCTGGAGCTGATAGCGAATGTGTGCTCTATGCTCTTTTGACCAAGGCTCTGTAGTCTAGGAATTTGGGTGGTTGGAGGGAGCCACGGGTCTACCCATTTGTCTATCTAGGTTTTGTCACCCCAATGCCAAAAATAGCGTTATTTATGAAAAAATTTCTTCTCTTTGACTCAAACAAATAACAGTTTAAGAACATTAGTTTCCTCGGTGTTTCTTTATTTCCTAGCTGGTGAAATAACAAACTGTTTTTGTGGGATTTTTTTCTTTGAGCTCTGATATGATTTGCTCCTTCCACTTCTTTACTTACTCAGCTGCATCTTTGAAATGAGCTACATGTCTAGTGAGACTTGGAACTTGGTCGAAAATGAAAAAACATGACTATTAATAGTATAGTTATATCAGTTGGAAAATTCAGATCAGCTTATTGGTGGGAGGGGAAGCATTTGTCATGATAAATCAGGTTGAATAAAGACATCATGTCAAGCCAGTTGCTTTTTCTGGGGACACGAAGAATTTCCTTTGAATTTCCATAAAAGAGCGGAGTAAATGAGACTCAGATTGCAGAGCCTTGGGTCAGACTGGACGCACTTTGAAAGTTTTACGGTAGGTTGAGGTAAACACTTGTCAAGGTTCTTGCAGGTAGAAAATTTTGAGTTGACAAGCAAAGAAGTAGATCTGTGTCCATTTTTGGGGTTTTTTTTTGTGAGTTTGTATTTATCTATGTCTTATCTAGTCAAACGGTCCCTTTACAACACAAAACAATATACAGCAATCTTTTAATTTTCCTGTGATTGATAACATAAACATGCCATTAATGTCTGTGTGCTTTTTTTTCTCTATCTTTATTTCCCTGTCTGTTAACACTCTCAACATTTTTATCTTGATTTCAGTTTCACTAGCCTTTGAAATAAGCTGTTTTTGTTTTGCAGGATGTTGTTTTAGTTGCTAGAAAAATGGTCAGTATCTGTATGCTTTGCTGAGGTTTTCATAAAGATTGTGGTTTGCTTAAACTAGACATGGATCTCTGGTTGTTTAGGATTACCAGGCGGTGGCATTTAATTGTTGTTGGAGGGAATTGTTTCATTATTTTTTTTACTCGATTGATCTCAATCATTGTCTGTTGGATACTCTTATTATACAATGTTATTTTTGTGAGCTTTGGTTTTTAGATATAATTCAAATTTCCTTGTTCATGATGGAAAAATAATGTTCAGAATAGAAGATGGAGTCTACAGCACTGCTCCATCTGTACAGATGGTAGTGACTGTATTGTGAGGTCTCAGTCGGAGCATTTTGATCATTCATAAGGGAAAAAGTTTTGAGTCTGATATTGGAAAGAAGTTTGGGAAAGAAAACTTCTTTTGATAATATTGAAATTTAGAATTTTGATGGAGATGAAGTATCAAGAATTTGAGGCGGACCAAATTTTGCTTGTAACCGAGAAAAATTTTTTGTCAGAGAGATTTTTTGCTGGTAGATTTCATGTTTTGAAGGTATGGCTTGATAGCCCAAGGAGATTAGTGAAATGAAAAAGTCTGATTAGATTGACTACATATATTGAATATACTTGTAGTAAGTTGTATCTTCAGTGACAGATTGATTTAATCAAACTTATTGGGTTTATATTTAGGGAGGAGAAACTCCTTTGTTTTCCTTTTTTTTTGTTGGCATGGAGACGCACATGAAACCCTTAATTTTTTAAATTGTAATAAATGTGTCATAATTTTTTAATTTTTTTTACACTCAACAAGATGTCTTGAATTCTTTGATGGTAATGCCATTTTTAGTATATTTCCCATATTGACATAGCCTTGTCTGTGATTTATGTATTTTTTTCTTTGCAAGTGAAGTACAAGTTGAGGATAATAACCATGGTGTTATCATGGTTTTCGTCTGTCGGAGTCAGATTGAAGCAGAAGTCGGTAGATGTTGACTCAAGAAATTAGTGGAGAAAATGAGATAGAGTGTTTTAATTGCCACCTAGTGCAGCGTTGAACGAAATATGAGTTTTGTAATTGTGTTACTTGAAAAAAGTTGTTTCAGACCCATAACTTTCCAGTTTGAGTAATTGGTGTATTTTAAGTTAACCTCTGCAGTTTTCATAATTTATAAGGAAAAAAAGTTTGTCCTCTGTAGATCGTGTTTTCTTTGAATGTTTTCTAGGACCGTCAACTGATTTATGAATCACAGTATTCAAGTTTGAAGAAAATGGATCTCTGTACTGTTATGGTTGGCTTCTGCACTTAGCTCAAAGAATATGTGAGTTTGATTTCAATGGGGAAGCAACATTTATGGGGCCAGAGTACTTGTGCAACTACAAAATTTGACAAAAGAGTGTCCTGTTACTTTAGGGTCTCTGTAGTTAGAATTTCCAACTTCCACCTCGTTTTGATTAGTCTCAAGATGTAGTCAAATTTTTTTAATGTTTTTTCTAAAAATATCTAGGCTGTAGAGTGCTTTGTGGACTCTTTGTGGTAATAAAATATTAATGCTGAATATTTTTTGTGAGGTGTCTCGCAGCACAAGGAATTGTAGTAATAGTTTGTTTTGTAGCTAGTTCCTGCTGTTTTCTTTTATAGATTTGAAACCGCATAATACATTTACTTTGTTTTGACCTTTATTGAGAGTATTATTTATATATCTATTCAACCCCTTCATTGTCTTACTGGAGACTTATCATGGCTTTTAAAAAGGATTTGATATTCGGCTTGGGAGTAAAAAGGTTAAAGGGGAATTGTATAATTTATTTATGTTCACATTAATCTCATTTCTCCAATGTTGTAGCTTTATTTGAATGATATCTGAGTGCAATGCATATTCCTTATTTGATTTAGTGTCTCATAATAAATGATTTTGTATGCTGACAGCTTTAAGTCGCCCAATTTTCCATAATTTGTCTGTTTTCTTTGATTCCTTCCAGTTTGTTTAACTGCATGTGTTTTCTCTTTTTTACCCTTGTTTGGTTTTGAAGTTTCATCTCAACGTAGCTCCCGTGTACCTAGTTTCCTTACTACATGTATGTATCAATTTCATTTCCTTGAAAGTCTGATTTAATTTTGATTCGTTCATTTTTTGGTTTTACTTTACTTGCCTTTGGTTTGTCTTAATTTTTAATTCTTTTTATAAACAGTTACACTAAATTTAATTAATTTGTAACAGGTATTATGTGACAGCCTGTACAGTGCTGGAATCCATTTATAAGCAATTATAACTTTTGTCATGTTATTGTGTCCACCTTTCTGTAGAAATTTCATTTGACAATCCTCTTATTTTCATCCTT